ACCAATTTCTCATTATCATAAATAATTCGCGGAAAATCTCCAAAAGACACCAAAAAACTCCACTGCGCTCCTAAAAAAAATATTACCCGTGACGATGATGAAATTTAAACTCAATTTCACATTTTAATTTCAATTGAACTACACCTTTTTCTAACAGCATCAGATTAAGTTCGATAAATAATAATATGAATTGATGAAAGTCGTATTTATTTTTTGAATAATTCAATAGAAATAATTGATCCAACTTGTTTCTATCAGCCGATAAATGCAGTGCATTATTCTGAGGCTGGTAAAAACGTGGAATTTCATTGGCTGCAGTAGGGTAACCCTTTCAACATCACGAGGTAAAGGTAAAAATCGTGGAGTGCTAATGCAGGTAAGAAAATACCTGGAACGTGAACTGCATTATTGAGAGAGCTGCTGTTCAAGGTTCACTTTAACTATTGTTGGCTGCGCGTACACTTACCCTCTCTCCTTAAACTTTCAAAAGTACACCTCCGAATGTACATACTCAATCCCACCATTTCCACTATTCCGTACCGACTAAAAAAGTGTCGAACTATTTACGCAATTGGTGGTCATTGAATTTTCTTTCTCAATCCAAGCCCGAAATAACTCTAGGCGATAGCGTCCCGATATAAATATACTCGAGTCAAATATTATTCCTCGTGTCACCATATGACATGACAAGATATTAGCATGAAGATAATTAAATCATTCGGCAACAGAAAAAATGACGAGGACCAATGGAAAATCTTTTAACTATTTTGCGGTAATCCTTTCCTCTATGGGCGTTGTAATTTGTCCTTTTTAATGCTCACCCTGTGAATTTCTTCATTGAATATTTTTTTATGGTTGTGACATCAATGGAATTGTCGGAGAATTTGGAAATAACGAAATTGATGAATCAAATACGCGATGGGGGTGCGCAATCACAGTTGAAAAAGAATCAGACTACGCCAGTGAGATCGGAAGGGCTTCTTTGGAGCGAGGGAAGGAGGAATTAATCCAGTTTACTTTTTCAAGATTTAAAGGGCTTCTTATGCAACTCTATACCGGGTATTTGTGCTGTACTATTCTTCAGTACTGGGTACCTGTCCTCTGAAAATATGCATTGAACTCGCCCTATTTGTTCTATGAGACAATCAAATTCTATTTTAGTATTAATAATTGGAAAGAAATTAGAAAATAAATGTTATTATGACATATTTTTTGGGATTTTCCCAATATCTTAATTCGACGAGTTAATTAATTTGAATGACAGCGACAATAAAATAAATATTCAGTTTAAAAATATTCTTGGGTAAAAGATAAAAATAACAATATTCCCACTACGATAATTCTAGGATTGCTAGGTTATTTTAATTGATCGTCTCCATCTTCCAAACTGTATTTAGAAGAGAATGACTTTGCACAGTGGCATGATGCTGACGACTGTATCTTATAGTATTTCCTCGTTTCACAACATTTACAATAGTTATCCCTGAATCTTCGAAGAACTAGATAAAGAAGACAGACAAATTCCACTGGAAAATTAAAAATCCGAGGACTGTGGAAGCCAGCACGAGACAACAGAGACCGTAAACAAGATAAAAGAAGAAAAATAAAATAGGCAAGCCGTCTTATGTTTCTGTCTTATTTCATTGTACAATTACGGTATGAAATATGACATAAACTTAAGGTGGGTACCTATATAATCATCAACTTGAAGATTTAAATGACAGAGTGGATCCTGCAATCGTCACTTCAATTGTTAAACAACTATCTCAAACCTCTGTAAATTACAAATATACATACAATATATTAACAAAAAACCTAACTATGTACCTCCTGATTAATAAACTCATCTGTCAATCAATTCCGAATTAAATATATATACATATATTTCATTCCTACATGATAAATACCTACACTATATGTTTTGTAGATATTTCCATGCATCGACATGGCTATAATTATTAATAATTATATCCATAGGATATTGAGGAATTTCAAATGCTCTATTGTCCGGTTTACTATAATATTCAGTGATTTTGCAATTTTAAATGTATACGAATTGAGACATAGGAATTTTGACTATTTAATTCTGTTGAGGTAGCTTGTTCTCAGATAACATGAGATGGAGGTCATGAATTTACTCGTAACAGACAGAGAGAGGGGAAGAAGAACGAACCCGATGCTAGGCGCTAAGCCGAATCCCTCAAAGTGCGATGGAGCTTACTCAGCTAGCATTACCCCAGGTACAGCCTAAGGGGAACAACGGGTGTTTTCTTTTCCTTGGTAAGGGCTGGCCACTCGCATTCCATCCTTTATTAGATTCGATCGGCTCGTATCATGTCTATGTCTGTCTTCCACCAAAGAGACAGAAGAATCATTGACGTTTAATGACCTCGAGTCACATTTTCCAGAAATAGTTGCGGATTGATGCTAAGTTCGTTGAAATATCTATATCATTACTTGTATGGCTCACCCATCATATCGCACATCTCTTTATAAATACATTACATATATAACTTTTTTTGTATATATTTCACAAGCGTAAAACGAAAGGCAATTACACGTACCACTCAGCAACATTGAGATATCGTCTATTTAGATTATCTAGGATAATTAGGCCACTCTAATGCCAATATTTTCCTCTGTTTGACGTATAAGTGTCATGCATATGTACTCACGTTTTTAAGGATTCACTGCACGCTTGTCATTGCACACATTGGTGGTCAAAACCTTATGTTTCTCTGATGCTGTTATATAATAATGTTTTATGAGATTTTTGTAGTGAGGAATGTTATTCAGCTCGAGTGTACGAGTAATTATTTCATTGAATGTGATATTAAGATTGAGCGATTTCGTTTTAATTTGTCTCATCGCGCAATGTTCTGGTTTTGCAGTGAGAAAAAGAAAATTAATAACAATTTATAATTTTCACCCCAATTCGTCAAGGTAAATTCTATTAAATATTCTTTTGCGGTGGGTCTGCAAAAATTATGATTTGTCACGAAATAAATAGATTCAATCGAGTCGCGTTGAAATTTCAATCTGACAGCGAATGAACTGCTGGTGCTGAATTCAATAGTGATTAAATAAAATAAATAATTGCTTAAAAATATATACATGCCAGTTGCATATTCATTGTGCCCTTATTCTTTATGATACACGTGTCTTCAGTAGTCAAAACGGTGAGCCTATTGGACGCTTTAATACAACGGTGAAGCACTATTGGTCAATAGATTAAATGACCACGTGGGGTTGTAGTATATAACCAGGGGTGAAGTATGAAACTACCGACAGTTGTCTTGGGAACTCGTGAACGATATCAGTGGTGAGCATGTCAGTAAACGGGAATTTATACCTGTGCAGTGTGACAGACTAATCATATAATTATCCTAATTTTTCAAATTCAAATAAAAATAAAAAGATCCTGTCAACAAATCTTGAACACCTCCACATTAACGTAATGCATTGATTAAAATTTTCCCAGAAGTGATCAAACCTTAAGAAATTGACACTTTTTTAAATGATAAAGAAACAATCAGTAACAATTAAATAAATCCGATGAATTCTGAAAGAAATAAAAAATGTGAATCAATTCTGATGAGAAATCCATTGAAGGAAGAGAATTCAAAATTACCTCTCCCTTCTCTTCAGAACTGATTGCCAGTAATTTTGAAAGGCTGGTCCCACCAAATACATATGTATATCCTGTCATCAGAGGCATCGAGGACGCACTAGAGTACCAAGTAATTGCAAACCACCCTTGTACGTATGTAGAAATCGAATACGATGAATTTTCCATAAGTACAAAACTGTCCCAACTCTATAGTGCATCCAGATGTCCATTCCCTACGGTTCACCCATTGCACGATAAACGCTCAATGTTCACCACCGTGACACCAATCCCTTTGAATATCCAAGTTTTATATTTCTTCATAGCTATTGCCTCTACCATTCGGTATTTTTCTCTTGAGAAGCTAGCAGTAGGTTGTGTACAGCCCCGTTGAGAGTAGAACTTCATTATTTATCATACTGCAAACGTATGCCACAGTTCTACTGGCCTCATATCGTCAACGATTTATCATTATTATTCCTTTTTTTTAGAACAAAAGTGGAAATCCAAGGGATAGATGCAAATCTAGTGTCTGACTATTGATAACACACCTGTTATTGGACCCCAATGCAGCTGCTGGCCACTGCACAAGATTAGACATAAGACTCTTGTGCGTGTGACAGCGGCTATGATGGGGCTTCCGTTACGCTTCGGATTAAATAATATATCTAATGTACCTAGGGAAAGGTGATATACCAGCGAAGGCATTGGAACGAGGAAAAAGGGAGGAAATGTCAGAGGAAGACCCATAAAATCGTGCGATTCCTTGTCGTATCGTTTACGTGAATCGGATACGGAAGTCAATACTTCAATCAATGGTGACGAACAATGAATTCTTTCATATGAGGAGTTCGCAACTCATTGATATTCCGACTTTATAGAATTTTTAAATCAATAATGAAGGGATTGTGAGATCCCAAAGACATTATTTATTGATTTTTTAAGTGAAATGAAAATTCAACGGTAAAGCTTTCTTAGCTATATGATAATGAATAAAAGATTCATTAATAATTGGCCATGCGATCGAATTAGAATAAAATTCCAGTGAACATGGCGATTTCCTTTGGATATATTGGATTCAACGTACATAAGCACGAAATGATAGCATAGTATATGAATTGAGTTTTTTTTTTAGAATTAATAGCCCGATCGGTTTGAAAACATAAATCGTTCGATACGGCGCACCGATATATTCGTTAATGTCGGAGAGAAGATGTAGTCACTCTTTGGAAGTGATAAACAGTTACAAATATTGCGCAGAATAATAAACCGCATAGAAGGATATTATCGAAGAATGCTGATAAAAACTGAGACAACAAGTGGAAATGTTTCAGTTACCGAACAGTCACGGCAAGCTGCACAAGTCGAGGAAAGGACCGATACAGGTAAGAAGTCATAGAAATGCCTTTTATTATTAAAGCACTTGTACAAAACAATTATATAAAACATGATTGAGTGTCCGTGCATACGTTCAATTAAAATTCGAAATCATCAGGAGAGAAGGGGAATAGGAAATATATCTGCGAGGAAAAATAAAATGTGTGAGTTACTCTTTTCTTACCATAGGCCTTGAATTCTGTTCACGTTTCAATAGAAAAATATAATTGGTGATTTGGAATGTAACGTACATTTATTTTCTTTGATATGTCAATTTTTTTCATTTAAATCTCTCATAACAAATAAGAGATTACGGACCTGTTGATTCGTCAGTATTCATCTTCATAGCGAAACATTGTATAGGCTTGCAATCGTTGCCATCTCCAAGACAAAGGACAGTTTCACCGTCTTGCAGATCATGTCTAGCTATTACTTCGGGTGAAGAATACGTCATACCACACGTTTCGATATTGTTAGAGTCAGTTTTCATTCCCGTACCTAAAATATTCAATTACGGTTACTCATTGTAAATATCAATTGCATGTGTTGTTTTATTGATTGATAAAGGGAACACCTCTCCGGTTGGCTGAACGTTTCTGGCAAATAATGCTCCTCAAGAGCATCAATGCCCTTCCATCCATTGCATCAGATTCAACTCTTAAACTTTGTTTCAAATGGTAAATCGCACCGGTGGTATTTCCTTTCGCCTGGAGTAAAGAGCCGTACAAGTAATTTGTCAGTGGCTAGAAAGGAAAATTGGTTACGGTGAATTACTCTCAAGGTATGAATCATCGAAACCTTGCATTAATTTGCACGCGAGCCATAGACGTATGGATCGAAATTCGAAGAATCCGAAGGTTTTTCATAAAAAATAGACAATAGTCAACGAATGGTTTACCTCAACAGGATTTAGACGAATCGCTTCTTTCGTTATCTTGAGCGCCTCCTCAATGAGTCCGACCTTTTGCGCAATGGATGCTATACTGACCAACGGTACATCCTTAAATTGTTTCGGTACAGACTTGAGGGCTAATTGAAGACAGTCTAATGCATTCCGTGGCTTTCCAACCACTCGCCAATGTAAAGACGCTAATACAGAGAGTACCCAAGGCGCTGCAACTTTTGATTTGGTGGCAGTCAAAATTCTCTGCCCAATCTCGGCTATTTCGGCGTCCTTCACTAAATTAATTAGATGTCCTGAGAGACTAGAATCAGGTGAATGACTCCCCAGTGTCGCTTTCAGCAATGATTTGGAGATAAATTTTTGGTCGAATATCTCAGGAGATTGGCAGGTCGGTGGATACCAAGGTAATTTATGCTCCTTTCCTGCCTCTATGCCTATTAGTTCATTAAGAAATATTTGAATTGCATATCCTTTACTTTCTGGTGATAAATAGACTGGTACATATTGCGTTGTATCACTTAGAATGAGTTCTTGCTTATCACAATCACCCGAATTTGGCCAATTTTTACCCTCAAAATCGCCTTTACTTTTTTTTATTTCAAATTGATGGTACTTTGGCTTATTAGTTGGTTCCATGAATAAAGACAAATATTCTGGGCTCTTCTCGTTACTAGTATCTCTTATTTTATCTGCACGATCAGTCTTTGGATGTATAACTTTTGTACTCGTCATTCGATCATTCATCTTTTCAACTTGATTCTCGACATTTTTAAGTTGCTGCAGACTAACACCAATGTCAATCTGAAAATTGTGAGAGAATATATGATTGTCACCGACAGTTTGACAGGATAGTGTTGCTTCATCATCCTCTCGATGAGTACAAACTTGTCCTCGTGATGACAAAGTTGGTCCTAAACGTTGGCCACGGAGAGCAAGAAATGGTGATCTTGTTCTCTCACATAATATTTTCTCCTCGAGCTTAAGCCATTCAGCGTAGTCATTCTGCTGAGCATGAAGTTCTTCTACAATGTCATCAAGTTTCTTATGCAAAGCTCCCAATGATTTCTCTAAGCTCTGGCAGCACAAGATAACGAATTTAGCTTGTTTCGCCTGTTCCATACTAGGCGTTAACTTCAAAGAGTTATCATAACAAGCAATTGATCGATTGTAATCACCCAAAATAGCATAAACATGACCAAGAGCTAAATGCTGATGACTCTGTGTCGGAGCATAATCTATTGCTGCATGAAGAACAATAGCAGCCTCGGCTGAATGTTTTGCCGCATGGAGAATTCCTCCGGCAGTCAGCAGAGGAATATCCCGGAATTCTCTTGGGGCTGTGACAATTGATCGTCGAGCGCATTCCAATGCATTGTAAGCATCTCCCCTCACTCTCCAATATATCGCAGCGAGATTGAGATGTAGCCAGGACGTACTGTTTTTCAGCAATCCATGGGCCACCTGATGCCCAAATTTATTCAAATCCGTACCCTCTGGCAGGTATTTAATCAATCCTTTCTCCTGATGCTGCGACAAGTTCTTCCTATTCCTCATAGCATTTAAATGATCAAATGTGTACATACTGAAATCAAGCGGGAAAGTTTTCTTGCAGTCCGGTACTCTCTTTTTCTGTTCATTTGGAATTCCATGAAGCAAATAGTCTTTGTGAGTTACACCTTTCCTGTAGCTTCCATCTGTTGCAACACTAGCGTAAAAATCAAAATCTTCTAGCAACTTTCTGCTCGATATGCAATCTGGATTTGAGGCTTGTAACCAGGACTCGAGGTCTCCTATCGAGTTTAAGACAGCCATCTGACTATCTAAGAGTACCTTTCTTGTTAATATCTTTTTGTGCAGTACTTCCACTGCATCCATTCGACTTTCCTGTTCCAAAAATGCTGGAAGGTCATAGGGACGTTTCATACTGTACACAGATTCGAGCTGAAAACAAATACATTTCATGTTCTTCTATTCATCTTTATCGATTAATTTTTCAATGAAGATTCTTACTTGCGGCTGTACCCTCCCATTCTCAGTGACCACCCAGTGGGTGGTAGCTGATATACCCAAGATTGCCTCAAAAAACATGAGGAATATCCGGTAGGATGGTAATTTCGCCATGTTATCAGTTTCTCTTATGTCTGTTGCACTTTTATATGAACCTTCAATTATCACGGATTGGAGGTGAATGTCTATTCATCTCGCAGTTTCTTCATTCATTCTTGTCACTAAATATTTCATCGAATACTTGACATTTTGTACAGTAAGCAGTTCTATTGCTAACATTCGATCGACTCTTTAATGAATTATTCGAGGTTATTCACTGGTTTAACGAGAGACCTGCATATGGCGGTGTAGAGTGAAATACTGTCGCGTTATATTACTATCGTACTGGACAAATTTAAGTTTTGGTTTTAAAAGGTGGGAGCCAAGGATACGAGTTCGAATTTTAGAAAGAGGGGGTAATGATGAGGGCTATAATATCGTCAGTACGGTCATACGTACTAAATATGCGTCGGTCATTTACTCTAATGTTAAAGAAATACAGCTGAGAGAGAAGTTTCAGGTGGAATCCTGGTCTTTGGGGGCTCTGGAGGCATTGCGCATGTTGGCTGCCAAAGCGGGTTCTACTCCATTGGTTGGCGATGTCCCCTTCTCCTAGTGGATAGGGGCAAGTGTCATGGCTTCTCCGAAGAATTACACCCAAGTACACGCCATCTGTTCAATACCACGAGGAACTCGAAATCACAACATTTCTTCTTTGTTCACTGGTAATTTTTGAGCGGCAAAAACAAATCGCCGTTCTGAACACGGCATGACGAATCGGTATCCGAAGCCGGAAATTGCCAATACAAGAGCTATTCATTTTTTTCTTGTGAAAGCCGATTGGGAATTACTTTATGAACGCAATTTGCTGGTTAACTCGATAGCTCAATCAGAGGATATACCTGGGTAGACGTCCGGACCGGAGAGTTAACGTGAACTCAGGACTGTTAGTCCTTATAGTCCCGCCCCAGGGGTTGGTGTCATGATAAAGGTGGAGTCCAAAAAAAATTGAAGAATTTTTGCATTTATTGCAAGGGTTTCCTCTCTCACGTCAGAAAGTCAAGTTATTCGTATTAAATTCCTGGATTAAGTATTATCTTTCCGAGTAATCATTTTTTTCCAACTGTTTATCTATTGGCGTAGATTTCTCATTCCATTTGGACATGAGTGTTTTGGCAGGGATTTCCACTCCATTTTCGTTTTATTTTCCTGTTTGTCCTAGCAATGAGTCACTCGCAAAATATTTTTTCTGCAACTTTCAAAAACAAGTGCGCACAAAATTTCATAACATGACGCAAGAACAAGGAAACGTTCTATTTTCCTTCATTTGTTATCGAAAATGCGATATTTCAAGAATTTTGATAATAATCGTTTCTTTACGGATAGACCTTCGAAATTGGTTTTATCATTTGTTGAGTGTTTCTACAGCGCAGGTCGGTTACTTGGCAAATACCCCAGAGTTGTGGTCGTTGAGCATCAGTACTCGGTGAAACAACAAGGTGGCAAGTTCAGTTGTATTATATTGAAAGAATATTCATACCAAAGCGCTAATTGATTCTAACAACGACCATGAGTCTCACGAAACAGAATTTTAGCTCTGAATGCGAGGATGGAATTAACAAACAAATAAATATGGAATTATATGCGAGTTACGTGTACCTGTCTATGGTAAGTCGTTATGTTATCGATTTAATATTTATATGCTTGCAATCATTGCGTCAGATTGCTTTTGGAATTTAATTGAATTCTCTTTTTTTCAGTCGTATTATTTCGATAGGAGCGATGTTGCTTTACCAGGAATGCATCATTACTTCAAGAAAGCTTCAGATGAAGAACGTGAACATGCCATGAAATTCATGACATATCAAAATAAAAGGGGAGGATTAATTGTATTGACGGCTATCAATGAACCAATCCGACAAAACTGGGGGTCTGCGAAAGACGCTATGAATGAAGCATTAAAACTTGAGAAAGCTGTAAATGCGGTATGTAAATCATAAAATTAGTATTTCTCATTTTTCGTTTCGTCAATCGTTTATATGCTCAGATTTCGTAATAGTTATTACATCCGCGCGGCTTATACGCAGTTCATTATGACAGGTAATGTCGTCTGTTAAGAAAACGTCGTTTGCATCGATTTTATTATTTCAATTTTTCTATATAATGTTTATACCGATAATGCTCTGATTAATAGTTCCCAGATCATCACTTTTCGATCAATCATTATTTCGGTCATTTTTTAGTAGATTCGTACCAAGGATTTTCCCCGGTTCATTATTTCAATTGATAAGCAGAAAACTTCATTTTGAAATTTTTTTCTATTCGTTCGTAATTTTATGTGCGAACACATTTTACGATATCGAAGAGAATGGTGATGCGGTGGGGGTGTAACTCAGTGGTAGAGTGTCCGCTTCGCATGCGGAAAGTCCTGGGTTCAAATCCCAGCTCCTCCAATTTTTTTTCGCATTCATTGATTGTGATCTTGACGATTTTTTGGTGTTAATAAATTTTGATAACATATTCATTCGGTTTCCTCCGAAAACTGATGCCTGTATTGAATAATTAAGCTACAGCTCAATGCATTTGCCCCGAATTTCGAGCGTATGAAATAAGCATCAACAATGGAAATACCCGCCGCAGTTAATGACAATAAGCTATATTCCCAATGTCGCAATGAGAAAATTAGCGATGTTTATTTTTTCCTTCACACAAATATTGTTGGCACGTTCTGCCATGAGAGATCCGTGACCTCCCTTTTTTTCTTTCATTGTTCAGGGTTTTATAACATTATTTTTGATTGATTTTTGCAATGCTTGTTTATAGCTTGTATATAGCTTTACTCTTAATATCTGTGAGCTTCTCTTGCAGTTTATCTTAGTAGTGTGCCTATGTAGATGTCAATTTCTTCGTATTGCTTCGTGATGGGTTTCATCGTCTTCCATTTTGTACAACATAATGTACAGTAATAAACTTTAATCGGTAAATGCCTAGTTTAGGTCCACCACGCCATTCTTTTATCCAGAATGAATTATATTAATGATAGGAGATATTACGGTTAATACACCGCTCTCTGCGTTACCCAGGGCCACGAAGAAGACGTGGCAGCGGGTTGGCCTCAAAGACACCACATGTTAACACCAGAGTTTACCTCAAGACTGTTGTTCAATGTACTTATCTCCTTGTTTCAACCTCACTTCTCACTTTATTTTTCGTTCACTGAGAGAATAAGAATGAGGTTCCCATCAGACAAATGAGAATTTCAACGATTATTGCTTTAGGGAAACCTGAACCATGTTTACCCTTTTATCAATCAATCAATATTTTACGAAATTCAGAGCCTTATTATTAGTCTTATCAGCTTGATTTTAAATCCTTAAGTATTCCACGAAATTGCTGATATGAAAGCAATTATTTGTATGAAAATTTTTATTTTCAGTCTCTTCTTGAGTTGCATGCACTTGGTGGAACTCACAACGATCCAAATTTTTTGGATTTCTTGGAGACTGAATTCTTGCAGGAGCAAGTCGATGCAATCAAAGAAATTGCAGATCATGTAACTAATCTTGAAAGAGTTGGAGAAGGACTCGGAGTTTATATGTTCGACAAGAATTTCGAAAAGAGCAGTTAAATACACTTTTCTATCACGTAATTACAAGCACAAATGAGATGTATGTATCTGGCAATCATAATCAGAATGTGTTATCACAGTGACAGATGGAATGAGAATATTTTCCTCTCGTATTAATCTTATAATATAGTAATGAAGTGGTAAATGTGGTAAGTCAGTCAACCACATTCTGTTGGAGATTGAATTATCTGGATAATCAGTTATTTTAGAAGTATATGTGATAAAAAATCCACAAGTCATTTTGAAGGTGGTCTGATATTGTCTTTTTATGATCGATGCACAAGTGATAAATACCTCAGAAGTGACTGATTACTATTTACGACTTCGGTACTCATTAAATTTTAGGAAATTCTCGGACGTCAATTAGAACTCTCGATTATTGGCGCTGAATTTAAAGCCACTTTAATTTATGTTTAAAAGGTGCTGAAGTATATAACGTGATATTTTCTTAATTGATATTGGTATCGAAAAGTAAAAAAGGTATTAATGGGAATGCTTACAAAAATGTCAAAGGCTTACGAAATGAAATAAAAACGTTCTTTTAAATTAATGTAAACTTAAAACCGATTAATTAAGGTTGAAAACAAATGAAAAAGCCCTCATCCGTTCACTCACAAACACGTAAAATAATCTGTAACCTCAAGATGATAAAAGTTCCATCAAAAATATTTTCCCCTCAAATTCATTACCGTACGGTCTCAAGATATTTATATCCTTCCATCAACTCTATTATGCCAGTAAAAAGAATGCAGAAAAAGTGTTGGATATCTCGGACAACATCGAGACAATATGAAATGCATGTGAGATGGTTTTATTCAGAAAATTGCCGAAGACTATATGAAACCCCGTTTTGTTCCAAATCTCAAATTCATGGTCAAGGAAAAGATAAAACTCCAGTAAAACGAATTCAGTACCAATTTCATCCTGAAACTGAAGCGGCCTTGAACCAACAACTTAATGTGGAACTCAAAGCTTCTTATTATTATTTGTCAATGGTATGATAGATCGGTGTAGTGTAATCATTTAAAATATTCTAAATTAAAATTGACAACCTCGTTGTTCAACGAAATTCTCAATGATATCTGAGGAAATTCATATCAATGTCAATATCAATTCCATTTGACCCTCCATTTCTCATTATATTATATTCGCAGATGCACAGATATTTAATTTGTTATTTAATTTGTTATTGAATTTCTAAGGCATTATACTTTGGTCAAGTCAATGTTGCTCTACCAGGCTGTGAATCCTATTTTATGCATATGCACCAGGAAGAATATGGACATGCAGTGAAATTATTAAATTACACAAAAACTCGTGGAGGACGTATCAGTCTATGTGTGATCAATCCACCTGACGAACAGAATTGGCTAAATCCCCTGCATGCATTCCAAGTAAAAATGTATAAAGTAACAATCACCAAACCACTGACCTGTTGTCATTACTGCAGACAGCACTCGACCTGGAGATATCAGTTGCAGACGATCTCATTGCTGTCCACGGTATCGCTGAAAAACACTGCGACATAAGTGTGACTGATTTTATTATCACCAATTTTATTGACGACCAAATGAAGAGTATCAGCGAAATTGCGAGATTCGTGACAATCCTCTCTGGCATTGGCAATGAAGCCCTTGGTCAATTCATTTTCGACAGAGATTTGTTGAAACATTACGTTCCCCAAGATTTCAATGTCTTACGAAAAACATGATATCGCGCCAACAATTATAAAGAATATTCATAAAATCATACTTTCGTTAAATCTCTGCTATCATTGTTGACACACATGGCTGTAACTTTATCTGAAATTAGCAGGCGAGCTTTGTGCAATATGTGCAGTACAGCAGTCTTCGATAATGACGTGAAATGGATGAAATCTACTATTCAATTACATATTGTCGGTGTTAAGAGCAGACCTTTGTCATTAAGCCTCGGTAAAATGATGTTTCTATTTACATTGGTGTAGTAATTTAACGGATAATACCGGAGATAATACACGAGGAGGTGTTGTGGCGTTTATGCAAAGGCTTTACCGCGAAATTTACAGCGGTGGCGCATGAACTAATTCACAGAACACTTCGTGTGAATCAAACTGACAACCAAAGAGGATTGACCAAAGTAGAGGTTCAGTTCTGGGGGTTTGAGTGACCCCAGCGGCATCGTAGTAGCCGACCCCATAAGAGGGAGGGCGCCACACGCAACGCTGGGGTATCTCCTCGTTAGCCGACTCAGCGACTTTTCAGTAATATCCCTCCAGCTTCCCTTTTGATAACTCTGAGCTCTTCGATGCCTCAGATTCCACTGACTGCAATTTGTGACGAGCTGATTTCAAAGCCTCCGACTGCTGATTATTTCTGTTTCAACAAATTAACAGTTATTAAAAATATCTTCACAAATTTGTCAGTGATGTTTACTTGATTTACTTCAATAATAATTTAATATCGTACTTACCGTTTTGGGCGGAGATATAAAAAACGACGTAAATTTAAGGCCCGGATGGATTATC